GTATCCGGTAACTCACAAAGGCCACCACTTACACAGTACTCAGTAACTCATATAAGCTCCACACCCTTTCAGTACCTCACAGAACTTCCACACCTATCCAACCAACATCAATACTCATAAGGTACTCAGTTACTCTCCCCTCACATACTCTCCTCACACATCGGTAACTCATGAGGGGCCTAGCATTCTTTAAGTCGGTTACTCCCTCACCCCACGCAAACATACGGCGACCATTGATAGCTTAGCGCCCCCTGGATGTAAAAGTTTGAAACGTAGTGTAAGTGGTTGAGGCTGGAATTTGGGCAATTTTCCAGCTCTGATTGGTGTAGAGACGACCCCCAATTTCCAGACGAGTGTGTGAGTTGCTGGAAACTCTCTCTCTCTCTCTCTCTCTCTCTCTCAGTAATAGTTGTTCTTTGGGTTTAAGATTTTGTTTTATGTTTTATGTGAGATTGGTTTTGTGTTTTTGTTGTATTATTTTTAAGGTGTGATAGTTAATTGATTTTTTTAATTGTCGTTTTACAGGTTGTAGTGTTTATTGTTGTTGTAGATATTATTATTATTATTATTATTATTATTATTATTATTATTATTATTGTTGTTGTTGTCGTTATAATTGTTATTATTATTATTATTATTATTATTAGTAGTAGTAGTAGTAGTAGTAGTAGGAATATGATAAGTATTATTTTAATTATTACGAGTACAGTATTAGTTATTTATAATCATGTTAGAAAAAATATATATAGAGAAGCTCCTAAGACCATGTTGTCAGTGGTTCGGTAGAGGTGAGTTTCAGGTGATGGTCCCGGTAATGACTCTGAGGGTGGGCCAGCATCAGGTGAGACAATTAGTGGGTCATTAGCCTCAGGTGTGGTCATTACTGCTAACTGCACACCTGTGATGACCGATTACTGTTTGTTTTTAACTTCTTTCCTCTTTCTCTTTGTTCTCTTCTCATCTCTTCCTTCCTTTTACGTCTTCGCCTCTCCTCTCCTCCTCTTCTTCTCCCTCCTCTCTTTGTTCTCTCATCTCTCACCAACCTTCGCTACTCCTTTTCCCACCTCCTCCTCCTCCTTCCGTCCATTGTTCTCCTCCTCTCCCCAACACCTGCTCCTCCTTCTCCTCCTGTTTCTCTCCCTTACCCTATTTCCTCTCCTCCCGCCCCTCTTCACCCTCCTTCTCCTCACTCACCATAAGGATTTGCGTCGCGTTACAGCAAGCTTTATCTTATCCTAACCTATCCTAACCTAACCTAACCTATCCTAACCTAACCTATCCTAACCTAACCTATCCTAACCTAACTTAACCTATCCTAACCTATCCTAACCTATCCTAACCTAACCTAACCTATCCTAACCTAACCTAACCTATCCTAACCTAGTCTAACCTAACCCTTCCTAACTTAACCATTTCCCGAGGATTAAGGCACAATATCAGACTTCCAATCCAATTAGACCCCAAATCTAATGGGCCCCTAATCCTAATGTTTACAGTTAGATTTGGGGCCTGTTGGGTGACTGGGGCCCCATTGACCCCCCTTACAGGTAGGAGTTACAGGTGATTAAGGTTTAGTTACACCTGGCTGCTGTTAAAAGTCTTATAGGAGAAATAGTAAACAAATTAATGCACTTATACCAGTTCCCGGTAACGCTCACTAAGGGAGCCATTTTTACCCTTTATTGTTAATGTTTTGACTTAATTTGTTATTGTAGTTTTAATTATATATTTTTTTACGTTCGTTCTGAAATAAAACTTTATATTTAATTTTATTTTGAGGGATTTTTTTAGTTATTTTTGCTTAACTGTTGGTTGGAGTTTTTAATAGTTATTTTTTTGAGTTTTCTGATATAAAATTTATATTAAGTTAAATTTTGTGGTTTATTATATAATTCGATTTGGAATCATGTATCAATTTTGTTTTATTTGTTTTTTTTTATAAAGTCTCAACAATAAATTACATACAGTGAAATCTCTGTTAACGGCTAGATGGAGAGAAAATCCGTTATATCGAGGGTCCGCTAGATGTGGAAACCTCTATCTAACGAACTATAACGATTTGAAAGTTCGTTATATCGAGGGTCCGTTAGATGTGAAACTTCCATCTGACGAAGTATATAGATATGAAAATCCGTTATATCTAGGGTCCGTTAGATGTGGAAACCTCTATCTAACGAACTATAAAAATTTGAAAGTCCGTTATATCGAGGGTCCGTTAGATGTGGAAACCTCTATCTAACGAACTATAAAAATTTGAAAGTCCGTTATATCGAGGGTCCGTTAGATGTGATATCCCCCATCTAACGGATTATATAAAGAGAGACGTCCGTTATGTGGAGGTTTCACTTTACATGAGTTTTGGTAAATTATTTTAAAATTTGTTGAGTATTTTATTAAGTCTATTAGTCATATCTCGCCTCTGTTGTGTACTCAGACTCTTGTGTTTTATTAATCTGTTTGGAAGCCAGTGTGTTTTTTTTCGATTTTTTTCTCGTGATATTTGATAAAGTTGATGTTTGGTGTGTGTGTGTGTGTGTGTGTGTGTGTGTGTGTGTGTGTGTGTGTGTGTGTGTGTGTGTGTGTTTGGACTGTAGGTGATTTATATTGCATTAGACTTATTGTGGAGTGTGTGTTGATTCTCTTTCTCTCTTCTCTTCTTTCCTCTCTTGTTTTCTCTTTTATCTCTGCTTTTTCGTCTCTGTTCTCTTCTCCATTTCTCTTCTCTTCTTTCTCCATTTCTCTTCTCCTCTCTCCATTTCCCTTCTCTTCTCTCTCCATTTCCCTTCTCTTCTCCATTCCTCTTCTCTTCTCTTCTCACAGTGTTTACAGTTTAGGATAATGTCTCATATATTTCAAGACCCAAATCGACATTATTTTATCAGTATCATCTAAAAGTGACGCTAATGTTTTCGGACCGCGAGTAAATATTTCTCCAGGAGTGCGGTGGCTGAGTGGATACAACTCTCGTCTCCTGTCTTAGTGTCACTGGTTCGATCCCCCCACCCCACCCTACCCCTCCAATCGAGCCAGCTGTGGCCTGCTTTTATATTTATTATTATTATTATTATTATTATTATTATTATTATTCTGGGCCTAATTCTTAATCCTGTTGTAACTCACACTAAATAGGGATAATCTTCAGCGTCATCTTTAACGCGTTACTAACATTTTGGCTATATTGGGGTAATTTATTGTTGGTATTGGTTACTGATGAAAATGAATTGATATGGTAAAACAAATTATGTTTCATTTGTGACATCGTTTCTACTATACTATAACCAAACTACACTTAAATTTGGTTACATAAGGTTAGGGTAGGGTAGGGTAGGGTAAGTTTGGTTAGGGTATGTTAGGGTAGGTTAGGTGAGGTTAGGTTAGGTTAGGTTAGGTTATATTAGTTTAGGTTATGTTAGGTAAGGTTAGCGACTTTGGAATTATCCTTTATATAGTATTTAAATTATTACTACGAAAAAGTTTAGAGAGAGAGAGAGAGAGAGAGAGAGAGAGAGAGAGAGAGAGAACTGGGTCTACATAGGTCAAGGCAGTATTTTTGACGTAATATAAAGAGAGAAAGAGAAGCGAGAAAGAGAGAGGAAGAAGTAAAGGAGAAGGAGTAGGTAAAGAATAAAGGAAGCCAGGAGAGAGAGGCTACATAGCTCAAGGTAGCCTTTTTAAAGTGAGAGAGAGAAAGAGAGAAACGAGAAGGAAGGCAGGAATGAATGAGAGACACAAGGCTACATAGGTAAAGGCCGTCTTTTGATGTGACATTTGTGAGTATTGATCACCCTGAGACACTGTACACCTACACCGCATGAAGATGAATCGTCAATGGCCAGTTGGTTTACGCCCTTATTGATTGGGAGAATGCGTTTTATTGTTATTTTTATTGTTGTTATTTTATTAGTGGTGTTGTTGTTGTTATTGATAGTATTACCATTGTTGTTGTTATTGATAGTATTACCATTGTTGTTGTTGATTCTTCATTGTCGCCTTTTTGTTGTTGATATTATTATTATTATTATTATATTTTCATAACATACATACATACATACATACATACATCCTAACACAAGCGCGCCCACACACACACACACACACACACACACACACACACACACACACACACACACACAGATCAAGGTAGCCATTCTCCAATATTTATACCACATGATGTTCTCTGAGGTATTAACTTAGGTTGGTGTTTATTCCCGAGTTTCCTGAGTTACGGCCACGCTGTAAATGTACCTTCTGCCCCTTCTTCAGGAGGTTCTGGGGTTGTAGGCTTTGAGTTGCTGGGTTCTGTAGGTCTAAGGTCCTGGGGTTGTGGGTTTTGAGTTGCTGGGTTCTGTAGGTCTAAGGTTCTGAGGTTGTGGGTTTTGAGTTGCTGGGTTCTGTAGGTCTAAGGTTCTGGGGTTGTGGGTTTTGAGTTGCTGCCCCAGGTCTAAGGTTCTGGGGTTCTGGGTTTTGAGTTGCTGGGTTCTGTAGGTCTAAGGTTCTGGGGTTGTGGGTTTTGAGTTGCTGGGTTCTGTAGGTCTAAGGTTCTGGGGTTGTGGGTTTTGAGTTGCTGGGTTCTGTAGGTCTAAGGTCCTGGGGTTGTGGGTTTTGAGTTGCTGGGTTCTGTAGGTCTGCTGTCCTGGGGTTGTGGGTTTGAGTTGTTGGGTTCTGTAGGTCTAAGGTTCTAAGAGGTTGTGGGTTTTGAGTTGTTGGGTTCTGTAGGTCTGGCTGTTCTGGGGTTGTGGGTTTTTTGAGTTGCTAGGTTCTGTAGGGTCTGGCTAGTTCTGAGGTTGTGGGTTTTGAGTTGCTGGGTTCTGTAGGTCTAAGGTTCTGGGGTTGTGGGTTTTGAGTTGCTGGGTTCTGTAGGTCTAAGGTTCTGGGGTTGTGGGTTTTGAGTTGCTGGGTTCTGTAGGTCTAAGGTTCTGGGGTTGTGGGTTTTGAGTTGCTGGGTTCTGTAGGTCTAAGGTTCTGGGGTTGTGGGTTTTGAGTTGCTGGGTTCTGTAGGTCTAAGGTTCTGGGGTTGTGGGTTTTTGAGTTGCTGGGTTCTGTAGGTCTAAGGTTCGAGGTTGTGGGTTTTGAGCTGGGTTCTTGTAGGTCTGGGTCTCTGGGGTTTGTGGGTTTTGAGTTGCTGGGTTCTGTAGGTCTGCTGTTCTGGGGTTGTGGTTTTGAGTTGCTGGGTTCTGTGTAGGTCTAAGGTTCTGGGGTTGTGGGTTTGAGTTGCTGGGTCCTGTAGGTCTAAGGTTCTGGGGTTGTGGGTTTTGAGTTGCTAGGTTCTGTAGGTCTAAGGTTCTGAGGTTGTGGGTTTGAGTTGCTGGGTTCTAGGTCTAGGGTCCTGGTGTGGGTTTTGGAGTTGCTGGCCTGTAGGTCTAAGGTTCTGGTCTTGGGTCTTAAGATACTGGGTTCTGTAGGTTCTTTTCTTCGGCCCTTAAAGCTCTGGGTTCTATTTGTCAAACGTTCTATTCTTTGGGTCTTTAAGATGCTGGGTTCTAGGTCTAAGGTTCCTGAGGTTGTGGGTTTTGAGTTGCTGGGTTCTGTAGGTTCAAGGTCCTGGGGTTGTGGGTTTTGAGTTGCTGGGTTCTGTAGGTCTAAGGTTCTGGGGTTGTGGGCTTTTTTGGAGTTGCTGGGTTCTGTAGGTCTAAGGTTCTGGGGTTGTGGGTTTTGAGTTGCTGGGTTCTGTAGGTCTAAGGTCCTGGGGTTGTGGGTTTTGAGTTGCTGGGTTCTGTAGGTCTAAGGTTCTGGGGGTTGTGGGCTTTGAGTTGCTGGGTTCTGTAGGTCCAAGGTTCTGGGGTTGTGGGTTTTGAGTTGCTGGGTTCTGTAGGTCTAAGGTTCTGGGGTTGTGGGTTTTGAGTTGCTGGGTTCTGTAGGTCTAAGGTTCTGGTCTTTGGGTCTTTAAGATGCTGGGTTCTGTAGGTTCTTTTCTTCGGGTCTTTAAAGCTCTGGGTTCTATTTGTCAAACGTTCTATTCTTTGGTCTTAAGATGCTGGGTTCAGGAAGAAAGAATATTGATCTTCCTCACTGTGTCTCATCACCGCCTCTGCTGCCAGCTATCATCAAGACATACTGCCGGAATGTTCTTTATATTTGGAGTTTACAGGTAAAAGAAGAATGATATATTTGGGTTTACAGTTAATAGAAGAATGTTATATTTGGAGTTTACAGTTAAAAGAAGAATGTTATATTTGGAGTTTACAGTTAAAAGAAGAATGTTATATTTGGGTTTACAGTTTATAGAAGAATGTTATATTTGGGTTTACAGTTAATAGAAGAATGTTATATTTGGGTTTACAGTTAATAGAAGAATGTTATATTTGGGTTTACAGTTAATAGAAGAATGTTATATTTGGAGTTTACAGTTAAAAGAAGAATGTTATATTTGGGTTTACAGTTAATAGAAGAATGTTATATTTGGGTTTACGGTTAATAGAAGAATGTTATATTTGGGTTTACAGTTAATAGTCTACCTTGTCTGGTATTAAAATTATTTAGTTATTTTGAGTTTACATTTAATTATATATACGTTAATAGTTTACATATACATTTAATATCATATAATTAGCTTGATCTAAATGAATAGTATACAGGTAGAGTTTACAGTTAATAACATTGAGTTTACATCGAGTGTACAGTCGTTCACAGATACGCGATTTAATTGAAATATATGAATAGTTTACAGAGGAAAATATTCCATCAAAAACCAGATTGTGTCAGTAATACATATAAATTAATGTCGGGTTGTGATACGTAGTTTAAACCCCTCACTGTCACTGTAGCATAATGCGGGTATATTGCGGTAGTCTCTGTCTGCCTGTCTGTCTGTCTGTCTGTCTGTCCGTCCGTCCGTCCACTTATGACGCACCTGGACATGCAAAGTTATCATATATATATTTTAATCTCGGCTGTTATGTATGTTTATGTATATTTTCTATGTATTGTGTATAATTTGTATTAAATTGGTCATTTTTTCTTATATGTAATTTTTTACGCCTTGTGTATTATTAATTATTTCATTTTATTTTATTTATTTATTTATTTATTTATTTGTTTGTTTGTTTGTTTGTTTGAATAAATTTTGGGGTTCCTATTTATTAGTTCACTCCAGTCCGTCCGTTTGTCAGTCCATCCATCCTTACATCCATCCATCCTTACATCCATCCATCCACCCTACCATCCATCCATCTATCCATCCTACCATCCATCCATCCATCCATCCATCCATCCATCCATCCATCCTTACATCCATCCTTACATCCATCCATCCACCCACCCAACCATCCATCCTACCATCCATCCATCCATTCATCCATACATCCACCCAACCATCCATCCTACCATCCATCCATCCATTCATCCATACATCCACCCAACCATCCATCCTACCATCCATCCATCCATCCATCCATCCATCCATCCATCCATCCATCCATCCATCCATCCATCATCCATCCATCCATCCATCCATCCGAAATTAGGTTACTCAATAAAAATCGTCAGTTTCCATTATACCACTAATGAAGACGTGTCCAGGTGTATAGTAACTGCCACCCACACCTGGAGTTCTAGCCTGGATTAATTTGTGAGGGTGACAGGTACACTGGGGAGGTTAAAGGTCATTACAGAGGTCAAAGGTCATCCTATTCTCCCCCATATCGTATTCTCCCCAGCCTCTCCCCCACTATTCTTTCCCACATTTTATTATTCCCCACATCCTATCCTCCCCACATCCTATTCTCCCCCACATCCTATTCTCCCCCACATCCTATTCTCTCCCTTCATCCTATTCTCCCCCTCAACCTATTCTCCCCCTCATCCTACTCCCCCAAATTCTAACCTATTCTCCCCACATCCTACTCTTCCCCTCATTAATCTCTGAATCTGTTCTCCCCCCACATTCTATTCTCCCTCATCCCTCTCCCCTCATCCTACTCTCCCCATATCCTATTCTCCCCCCACATCCTACTCTCCCCTCATCCTCTCTCCCCCATCTCATTCTCTATATCCTATTCTCCCCCATATCCTGCTCTCCCCCAGCCCCTCTCCCCCAGCCATTGTCAACATGCCAGGAGAATAATATCTTACGTCAGTCTCTCTCTCGATCTCATATTAGGGCTGTTGTTGACGCTGTAGTGAATCTCTACAGTCTCTCTTCTCTCCCTCAGTCTCTTCTTTCTCTGTCCCAGTCTCTCTCTTCTCTCCCCCTCCAGTCTCTCTTTTCTCTCTGTCCCAGTCTCTCTCTTCTCTCCCTGTCCCAGTCTCTCTCTTCTCTCCCTCAGTCTCTCTTCTCTCTGTCCCAGTCTCTCTTCTCTCCCTCAGTCTCTCTTTCTCCTGTCCCAGTCTACTTCTCTCCTCAGTCTCTCTCCTCTCCTCAGTCTCTCCTCTCCCCACAGTCTCCTCTCCCTGTCCCAGTCTCTCTTCTCTCCCCTCCAGTCTCTCCTCTCCCTGTCCCCAGTCTCTCTTCTCTCCCCTCAGTCTCTCTTTCTCCATAAGTCTCCTCTCCCTCAGTCTCTCTTCCCCTCAGTCTCTCTCCTCTCCCTCAGTCTCTCCCTCTCCCTGTCCCAGTCTCTCTTCTCTCCCTCCAGTCTCTCTCCTCTCCTCAGTCTCTCCTCTCCCTGTCCCAGTCTCTTCTCTCCTCAGTCTCTCTCCTCTCCCTCAGTCTCTCCTCCTGTCCCAGTCTCTTCCTCCTCAGTTTCTCTCCTCTCCCTCAGTCTCTCCTCTCCCTGTCCCAGTCTCTCTTCTCTCCCTCAGTCTCTCTCCTCTCCCTCAGTCTCTCCTCTCCCTGTCCCAGTCTCTCTCCTCTCCCTCAGTCGCTCCTCTCCCTCAGTCTCTCTCCTCTCCCTCAGTCTCTCCTCTCCCTGTCCCAGTCTCTCTTCTCTCCCTCAGTCTCTCTCCTCTCCCTCAGTCTCTCTCTTTACCAGATACTTAAATAAAAATCAAATATTAACAAGCAGTAGACTATTAGAGCGACTTTGAAATACACAAAATAAACAGTGATTTCAAAATACAGAAATAATAATAAAACAAAGATTCCAGCGATGTTGAAATACAGTGTACACGCCATGTTTCACCCTGTACCCACTAGTGTTACAGTGAGGGGTGGCCAAAAAATACTTAATGGAATGGAATACGTTTTTTATGGTTGTAATGGAACTGTAATATACGACCCTGGTGTTGTCATGACCTGTGTGTGTGTGTGTGTGTTTTACCTTTCCCAAATTAACTTAAATTAACCTAACCAAAACGTAACCTAACGTAACCTAACTTAATAAAAAATATATCTGCTTATTTAGTATGATAATTTTTTTCGGATTTGATTCCTGGGAGAATTAATTTAGCTCAATGTTATTTAAAGGGATTTAAATCACTTGTACTGTACAGTGTGTTAACACGGTCTCACCCCTCCAATACGCCCTTCATCCCTTCCCTTCATCCCTTCCACTTCCCCTTCCCTTCCCCTCTCATTCACTCGTTTCTCTTCACTCCCCCCTTCACCCTTTTATCTCCTCCTCACCCCTTTATCTCCCCTTCATCCTATCCTCTCTCCTGCACTTTTCCTTAACCCTCATCCCCTCCCCACCCTTTCACCCCTTTCCCTCCCCTTCACCCCTTTCCCTCACCTTCACCTCTTTCTCCTTCCTTTCACCCCTTTTCCCTTCCTTTCACCCCTTTCCTTCCTTTTACCCTTCTTTCTCTCCTTCACCCTCCCTTCTTCACCCCTTTCTCTTCCTTTTCACCCTTCCTTCCTTTTCACCCTTTCCTTCTTCTTTCACCCTACCCCTTCCTTTTCACCCTTCTCTCCTTCACTCCTACTCCTTTCACCTGTTTCCCCTCTTCCTTCCTTTCTTTCACCCCTTCCTCTCCTTTTCACCCTCCCTTCCTCTCTCCTTCTTACCCCCTCCCTTTCACCCTTTTCCTCCTTCTTTCATCCCCTCCCTCTCTTCACCCTTTTCCTCCCTTCACCTGTTTCTCTCCCTTTCTACTCCTTCCTTCTCACCCCTTTTCTTTTTCCTTTTCACCCTTCCTTCTCCTTCACTCCTACCTCTTCACTCCATTGTTTCTCTCTTCCTTTTCACTCCCCTTTTCCCTTTTCCCCTTTCACCCTTCCTCCTTCACCCTCTCCCTCTTCACCCCTTTCTCCCTTCACCCCTTCCCTCACTCCCCAGCAGAACATACATAAGGGTGTGTGTTATGTCGTTTCGTTGTGAGGCCGTGATCGGACCGCCGTGATATACACAGTCCACTCACTGTAACCAACCAACCAAGTACCTACCATCCAATCTTATACTCCCACGCTCTATACTTTAAACAACGATAGTCACGTGTATAACCCTCCCCACCCCTATCACCTACCTTCCACCCCTACTACCCTTTACTTATCCTCCCTACCCCCGAGACCTGATCCACCCTACTCCCTACTTCTACCCCACCTTCCTCTACCTCCCTCCTCACGCCCTACCCCACCTACCTCCTCCTGCCCCCCCACCTCTACCCTCCTCCTGCCCCCACCCCTCTACCCTCCTCCTGCCCCCCACCCCTACCCCACCTTGCCTGACTGGTTGTTCAATTATACATTTGCCACAGGGACGGAATCTCGTCTTATTCAGAAGCCCTGAATTTTAGCACCAAAACCACGGACTTGGGTTAGGTTAGGTTTGGAATAGGTTCAGCTGGGCCGGGGTAGGTTAGGTTAGGTGGGGAGATTAGAGAATGGTGGGTAGATTTAGTTATGGTAGGTTAGATTAAGATTGGGGTAGGTTAGGCTGGTTTGGTATTGTTTGCTAAGTTTGGTTGGGAAGGTGTTAAGACGTGAACAAATATCAGTTCTTCTTCCGGGTTCGGGTTTGTTAGTCCGGCTCGGCGCCAAAGGGAAGGTGTGTTTTGATTTTACTGATAAGACCCATTGTTTGAGTGAGACTGCCAAAGGAATTGGGGGGGGGGGGGGAGAGAGAGAGAGTTTGCCCCCATTCATTCACACACACATACTCTCTCTCTCTCTCTCTCTCTCTCTCTCTCTCTCTCTCTCTCTCTCTCTCTCTCTCTCTCTCTCCCCTTGGCCGTGTTCCAGAGGTGGTCATGAGGGATATTTAATGGGTGTTTGCTATCGCGCTTGATATTTCATCTTATTACGCCTGATTTTATGGCACCTCTAACGTTCATGTCCGCCACGCTTGATTTATTATTTTTATTTCCTTTTTAAATCGTTTCTTCGTGGTAAGGAAATTTCAGCCACAAAAGTGACTTAAATATGACTGGTGACCGCCTGTGACTTACGATTTCATAACTGGACTCCTTTATGTCACTCATGGTTGATATAATTGGTGACTGACCTTATGAACGATGGCACACACACACACACACACACACACACACACACACACACACACACACACACACACACACACACACACACACACACACCTATCACCCAACATAGCCATAAACAGGCCGGATTTCGTTTACCAGGGTCTGGATATTGAGGGAGGGGGTGGGTTTGGACACGGGGGAGGGTTGACGGTCAGGGGAGGGAAGGGGGTTTAATGGCTCCCCAGGATTTTTTCTCATGTGATCGGCAGAGAAGAAATCCATCAGTGCCAGGGGAATATTAACGGAGGATTTAATGGTTAAGGGGTAAAGGGAGAGGAATAAGTGAATATGCCGTAGTTGGTGTCACTGTTTCGATGGGTTAGGGAAGGGTAGAGTGCCACGTGTGAAGTGAGGTGCCAAAGGGTAGTTAGTGGTCTTCGTTATTGATTAAGTGGGTTAAGTGCCACTAACTAGGGTTGGAGTACTATGAGAAGGTGTTGTGCCACTAAGTAAAGGGATAGCGTAACCACTGATGATAAAGGGTTTTATGCCACTGAGTTAAGGGTACCAATAACTGTAATTAAGGGAGGAAGGGGTTAAGATGTACCATAGTGTGCAGTGGTACTTCATTGGGGGATGAAGAGGTATCATTGTATGGCATTGGGAAGAAGAGTGTGAGAGTGAGAAAAAGAGAGAGAGAGAGAGGGAATTTATAAAAGAAAGGGAGAAAATTAAGGATTGGGAGTAGAGGAAGGGAGAGAGAGAGAAAGAAGAATGAAGAGAAAAGTTGAGAGTGAGAGAATATTGATAGTTCACAGGGAGATAATAAGAGATGCTGCTCTGGTTGGAGGCGGTGACCCTTCCCTCATGGACATAGCTGGTGCAAAGTTTCTGGACGTCGTGTTGAAATGTGTGGGTGGGGATATTGTGTGGGCGGTAGGAGGTGGGGACATTGTGTGTGTGTGTGTGTGTGTGTATTACCCCTAAAACATAATGTATATTGTATATGTTAAAATTTATCCATTATAATATTCTTCCTTCATTAAGATTAACCCTTTGAGATACACCTGCTAAAGGGACCTCACCAACATTTCTCTCTCTTCTCTCTCTCTCTCTCTCTCTCTCTCTCTCTCTCTCTCTCTCTCTCTCTCATTAACACTAAAGTAACCAACCCCCTGCAAGATACACCTCACCCCCTCCCTGTCTTGCTATCACCATTTGTAAGATCTGCCAGCTGTTGCAATGTTGAACGCTGCAACATTATCATCGGCCGCAAGAAATGAATGCAAAAATCTGCTCGTGCAATTTCCACATTTTGTGATCTGGATCGTGGTCGTGAAATATGCCACCATTGACCTGACCCCACGCGTGACCTCTCCCGGGATTCTCATTTTTTTCTTTTGTGAGGTGTCTTCCTTGACCTGAGTATTGTGGGGTTGGGGGGGGTGTCGGGAGGGGTCGGGGGGGGTGAGGGATGGGGTCGGGGAGAGGGGTGGAAGGGGGTCGGGGAGAAGGGCATCGGGAGGTGTCAGGAGGGTCAGGGGAGAAGGGTGAAGGGGCTGGGGGAGAAGGGTGTCGGGAGGGTGTCAGGGAGAGGGTCGGGGGAGAAGGGTGTCGGGAGGGTTGGGGAGGGTGCTGGAAGGGGTTGGGGAGAAGGGTGTCGGGAGGGGTGTCGGGGAGAAGGTGTCGGGAGGGGTGTCAGAGGGAGGGAGGGGTGTCGGGAGAGGGTGTCGGACGGGGTCGGAGAAGGGTGGGAAGGGGTTGGGGAGAGGGTGAGGGGTGGGGTCGGGGAGTATGTGCCGGGAGGGGTCGGGGAGGAAGGGTGGGAGGTTGGGGAAAGGGTGGAGGTGGGGGGGGAGGGGGTTTTGTTTTACTAAGTCATCTGATTGTGTGTGTGTGATAGTTGTTAAGTGGTGTTGTGAGATTTTCTTTCTCTCTCTCATTCCTTCCCTTCTTTCTCCTCCTCTTCCTCCTTCACTCCCATCTTTTTCCTCCACTTTCCTTCACCTTTTTCCTCCCATCTTTCCTCCTTCCTCCCCCTGTTTCCTCCCTCAGCATCCACATCAATTTATCTCAGCGTCTCTCAGCGAATATTCACCACCACTCCTGCCACCACCACCACCTTGACCACAGTTCATCTTGGGGAAGCATCAGCCTGACTCTTGGTTACTGGGAAGGTGGCTGGGGAATGAGCTCACTTTCCCTAGGTTTCCTCGCGCTTCTCCTCATGTTGTTATTTTGTATTTCCCAAGACGCCCTTCCCCGTGTATTGAAGATCGTTTCATAAGCTTCCTTGTGTCTCCCCCCATTTCTTTACCTCCCCTTCCTCTCTTAACATCTACCATCTCCTTTTCTCTCCTCCCTCCATAACCCCCTAGCTCTCCATTCCTCCTACCTTTTCCCTCTCCATTCCTCCCATCCTTTCCCTAACATTCTCCCTCCCTATCATCTACATCTCCATTCCTTCCTCCTTTCAGTCCCTTCCTCTCTTTCTCCCTCCCTCCCTTTCTCTCCGTTCCTCCCTCTCCTCTCTCCCTCCTCCTCCCTCCCTCCCTCCTTCTCTCCCCCTCACCACTGAAGAGCACTTTCTACCACACCTTCACTCTCAGTTAAGCTAGGATAATAATGTCCCCCCAGCCGGACGCACCTCAGCACTGCTGGTCCAGTAATCGCTTTTAGGCTCTTAATTTCCTGTGGCAGAGAATGTTGTCCGCACTACAAGGTGATACACTCTGACCCACCCCGTTCATTTTCCTTGACTGTCTTGGTGTGTGTGTGTGTGTGTGTGTGTGTGTGTGTGTGTGTGTGTGTGGTAATTTATGGCTGTGTGTGTGATGGGCATGTGTGGGGGTTTCTTGTGTCTGTGTGTGTGTGGTGGGGATTATTTTGTTTTACTGTGGTGGATGGAAGGGTGAGTGTGGGTGGGTTTATCTTGTGTGTGTGGGGGGTGAGGGAGGGGTGAAGGAGGTACTGTTGTCGACACCTTTGAGGGCGTTAGTTGTTGATGTCTCTTTTGTCGACGGTCTTGCCTCAGGTTGGTATTATTGTTGTTGTCGCCTCACAGTTTAGCTGGGGGGGAGGGAGACCGTGTCACCACAGGTACCACGTGATCTACATCTTCTCTTGATTAGGTTACTTTATCTATTTTATTTTATATCTTCAATAAAAAATTCTAAGGGATATGGCAGGTATGCTTTCCGTCCGTCCATCCGTCCGTCCATCCGTCCGTATTTGGTGTCCGCTCGATAACTTCCCGTAAACTTCTTGGGCGGATTTCATTTTCGGTGGCCAAGTGTGTTATGGCGGCGTCTTGTTGGGTATTAGAGACGTGATGCTGAGTCGAGAGATTTTTAAGATTTGTGAATATAATCGACTTTCATCATCTCTCTCTCTCTCTCTCTCTCTCTCCTCTCTCCTCTCTCTTTTCCCCTCCTTCTCTCCTACCTCCTTTGTTATTTCTCTCCTCCTCCCCTCTTCTTCCCTTTTCACCATTCTTCTCATCCTCCTCACTTACTCACCGTCAACACATCGCTCCGTTGTCTATTCATTACCCCTCACCTAGATATCTTGGCCCTTTGTCATCTCCTCCCTCTTTCTCCTCCCCTTCTTTTCACTTCCCTACACCTCTCCTTCCTTCCTTCCTTCCGCTGCCCGTCATCCTTTTTCCATCACTTTTACATCTTCCCACAGTCCCACCCCTTCCCACACTTCTCCCATCTCTCGTGTAACTATCACCATCCCTCCCTTCTGTTCTCTCTATTGCCCCACTGCCTTCCTCCGGCTTCCTCCCTCCCACGTTCCCTCTCCCTCCCACTGTTCCTCCCTACCTTCACTACCTTCCCCTACTCCTCCCACGCCCTCGTTCACCTACGCCTCACCCTTCCTCGCCCCTCCCTCACCCACGCCCCTCCCTCACCCACACCCTTTCCTCACCCACGCCCCCTCCCTCACCCACGCCCCTCCCTCACCCACACCCCTCCCTCACCCACGCCCCTCCCCACCCACACCCCTCCTCACCCACGCCCCTCCCTCACCCACACCCCTCCCCACCCACGCCCCTCCGTCACCCACACCCCTCCCTCACCCACGCCGCCCTTCCCTCACCCACACCCCTCCCTCACCCACGCCCCTCCCTCACCCACACCCCTCCCTCACCCACGCCTTCCTCACCCACGCCCTTCCTCACCCACGCCCCTCCCTCACCCACGCCCTCCCTCACCCACACACACCCCCTCCCCACCCACGCCTTCCTCACCCACACCCCTCCCTCACCCACGCCCTCCGTCACCCACACCCTCACCCACGCCCCCTCCCTCACCCACACCCCTCACGCCCCTCCGTCACCCACCCTCCCCCTCACCCACGCCCTCCCTCACCCACGCCCCTCCCTCACCCACGCCCCCTCCTCACCCACGCCTCACCCACGCCCCCTCCCTCACCCACGCCCCTCCTCACCCACACACCCCTCCTCACCCACGCCTTCCTCACCCACGCCCTTCCTCACCCACCCAGCACTTGAAGCGGCCCCCGGGACTGGCAGTCCTTGAACAGACTCCTCCTCCTGATAGCTCATGTCCCTCCTCGTGACCTACAAACAGCAAGAGCTCCCCCTGTAGTACTGCCCACTGATGACCCCTTAGTGTAGTAGTGAGGAAGGATAGAGGAAGGAATAGTCAGGGAAGATGGCGTAGAGGTGATAGAGTGAGAAAAAAGAGTAGAGATAGTTTGGTGTAAGGGTGTGTGGCAGGAGGCGTGTTGGCAGTCCTCATAAGGCAGTCAACTCAGGCGCTGGTATAGCCAAGTATTGTAGTAGTTACGCTAAGCTCCGTCCTGCTAAGTATTGTTACACCACCATTTATGTCTCGAGGTTCACTGCGGCATTTGGAGTTTTGTACTTTTTTTCCTTATTTGCGATATTTTAGGGACTTTTCTCTTATTTGCTGATATTTTAGGGCGACTTTTTTCTTATTTAAGGATATTTTAGGCGACTTTTTCTCTTA